GCTGTGTTTGGATAACTTTGGCTTTTTTATATTATATTATTCTCAAAAAAATTAGTTTTTAATATGTTAAGCTTTGCTGGTAGAATGCGTCCCATATAATTATATTATCCGCTATATCAACTAAACAATGTATAGCAAACTTTACATAGCACCCTGGTAAAAATAATTTATATTACATTTTCGTGAACTATAGTAGAACGTTCTGCAGTAACGATCATCAACTCCATCAACTCTATTGCAGCGGGCCCTGTGCAAGTTTCAATTATAATATATTATATAAGAACTCAGAGTACATCTAACGTGATTATATTTATACTTTATTCTTACGGTAAGAATCAAATTGCTCTTCTCGCGGCATAAACATACCAAACCCATTGAAAATTTGTTTAACTTCCAAAGGATCAATGCTACCGGTTTCTTCAATTATATGTGATGTATACAAATCCATGAACTCTTCTATTTGACTTTGGCTTAGACCATTGCCCTAAAAAGTAACCAAAAAGGATAAATATAATTAAGCTGTAAAAAAAATGTCTACTCGTGTAATATTTGATGCAATTGTATCATTTTTAGCGATTTATTAATTGCTATTTAGTAATGATTCTCTAACTGTTAAAACAACATTTTCAAATTCAATTTATCCATAAAAATTTATATGGTCAATTTTCAAAAATTGCAAATAGTAGGACCTTGTTTTTTTATTTTTTTTTAAATCCTTCCCGAGTTTTCCTAATTGTTATACAATGATTTTTATTTTATTTTTATTTTATAAGGTTTCCATTTGATGTTCCTAAAAATACTATTATTCGTTTCATGAATATTTGCTTACTTCCGGTAGAATATCTATCATGACCGACAAGAATTCCACTGCGGATTCAAAACCCAAACCTAAAATTTAATAAAAGTAGTTCGTTAATTTGATGTAAACCATTACCTCGACCTTAATTTAATAATACCTCTTTCAGACCAAGGGATAATTCTCATGGCCTTATCTAATTGTTCCTCTTCTATGTTTATGGATCTTAAAAAATCTTCTATTTTTGCATAAGGAAGCCATCCAGGTTGTTTTAAATTTACGGTATATTCATAAAACTTTTTGACGTAAAAATCTACTTCAAAGGACGTCAGCATTCGATTCTAAGTAAAATATTAAACATACACGAATATTTCGCAAAAATGTATCTGTGATATTTTTATATTTGTTAATAGTTGAAATGTTTTAATGTTAAACTAGTTCTATAAGATCAAATACCTCAAAGTTGTCTTTTGTTCCTTCATACGCTAATGACAAAACTAAATTCTTAATATTGAAATGACGTGGCTGGTTAAATTTCCATTCAAAATCAATATTCGGATATTTAATTCCAAAATCCTCCTTCTTACTGTGTGGGATATTAAACGGGTATTTGTATAGTAAAATACATTTTTCTATTTGCTCCTTATTTAGTCCGGTGCTCTAAGTTAAGTAAAATGGTTTATAGTTAAATACTAGTACCGGGTGATATATCAAATGTAAGACACTCATTTTCTGGTAAAACGATTTCAATATTATAGTTTTACTAATGTTTACTAACAATCACAATATTATAAATTTATCAAAAATGTATCTTTTTTAAGATCAAAGAAGTTCTCAGGCAACTTAAATAATTAATATAGAAACCCGATTTTTAATTGTTAACCTTTTTTTTGTAAAAAAATTGGGTTTTAATATTGAAAAAAGTACATATTTATTTATTTAATTACAAGAAACAGAAATTTTTAAATAAAAATCTACTTCTTATATAACATAGTAAAACAGCCAAAAAATGTAAATCTCTTAACACAATTAAGATTGGACCATTCTATGTAGTCGAATTTTTTTATGGAATTTTGGTCTAAAATAAACCAAATGGCTTTTACTCATAGAAAAAATTGTTTAAACTAAAAATAATACCTTGAGTCATATACAAACTAACTGATAATTTAATCGACATGGTCGAAATTTAATAAAACCTCTTTTTTCTTAAATATTACCTCTACAAAACTCCTTAAAATCAGACCACGTACCAGTCAACATTTTTAGTATTTTTTTTTTTTTTTTTTTAAGTTAATAAAATATAATATGCGTTACCTTTTAAAAGCTTAAGGCCATAATAGTTTAACGTATAAGTTATAGGACTAAATTACATAACTCACCTTGCTTAAGTACATATGCATACTTATTTTAGGAAATATTATTTTAGATTAATAATTATCTTACCCATACAGATGTAAAGAAATACACCGCGCAGAAAATAACAACACTTTTAAAATGCATAATAGTTTATAAAATATTAGAAATCTAATGAAGTGTAGAATAGAACAACTATTGCCGCTGATGTCAAAATAACGAACTAACAGAAAAACTTTGTCAGTGAAGAAATTCTATAAACGTTATGTGTTTGCTTTTTTATTATTTACACACGGTGTACAGTCACTGGAAAGGTGGAAGTCGTAGAGACATACAAAATGGTATATTATATTTTTTTTGAATTATTGTATTTTTTTATTCTGGTTTTCGGTCATTGTAATATTTTACTGATTGTTCTTATTTACACAAATGTTTTGTATGCGAAAATATTTCACTGAAACACAAGTATTTTTTGGTCTAAATAAGTCGGTCCCAACTATATGCATAATGTTGTTTTCATGTATTCGCAGTATTTTTTGTCATTGAAAATATTTTTATATTATAATAAATATAAAACCAATCTAACAAGTAGTATATTTTAACTATACAGTATACTTAATATACTTCTACTTTGAGTCTAATTTTAATTCCAAACACTATGGTTAAAAACATATAAAGTTAAATTTTCTGCAACTTCTAGGAAAAAAAATTTATTAACTCCATAATTTTTCCAAAAAACATGCTTAATTTTAAAGTTGATTTAGTTCAATGTACGCCAGCACTTTATAAACAAACGTTGGCATTTTATTTTTTTTAAATAGTTATTTCTTATCATTGAGATTCCGTTCATAAAAATATGGAGCAATAATTTGTGGCTCAATTACATTACACCTTAAATTGATAACAAAACTCACTTGCGTTTTGTTCTGGGGAATAAAATGAGAGTTTGTGTCACGCAAACTTTAAAAGATCAGACCATGATTGATAAAAGAATATTTGGCGTATGCCGCAATTTCCTTACATTTAAAGAGAGTAAAAAAAATAATATTCTTTAATATTTGATTGTGTTTACTTTACAACATTTACAAATTGTTAACACATAGTAAAATAATTGTATTGATAAACTTAAACTACAAATAAATAGTATAAAATTATTAGTACATTATTAGTACAATACTATCCTTTTGACTGACGATAGAAGTATTTAACTAATACATTTACTACTATTTAACAATAAATTTAAAAATTATAAATGTTACTATTTTGAAAATATTAAATTACAAAGATGAAACAAAAACAATATTAATTATATTAAATTAAATATTTTTCAACCTCTATAATACTAATTTTAATTGTTTTTTTTTACAGTTCAAAAAAAGTATTTACTTGATTTACTGAATTCATTACATACAAATTAACTATACCATACTCGATTTCATGTATTTAATACTTTTAATTACTTCTCAATATCTTTTACTGGGCGACATCTCTATTTTATAGACATTTTGTCAGTAGGTAGGACTCATATAATGTGTCCATAACATTTTAAATGGGTAAAAAATCAGGACTACAGTTTTTTGCCTTGAACATGCGTTTTCAGTAAGTCTTTTCCATTTATTCTATATCTCCTCTTCACTCCCCTTTCTCCTTCCTGTCTCCTCCCCAGCCAGCCTATGGTGACAAAAATCGACAGACCCTATCAATACCCTATCGAGGCCTAATCGTGATCATTATCACCCAAAACATCCATGCTAAAATTCAAATTTTAATTTTTTAAGAAATAATATATAATTGGAAACAATAGCACATAACTTTTGTTAACAATTATATTATTCCATTTGGTTTTTTATTAATATCCCATCTTGTTATAGACCTAAAATTATAATATTTTAATATAAATAAAAACACAAACAACATAAATATGATTTTTATAAACTTTAAAAATATTGAAATGACCATTTAAAAGAGAAGTTTTTTTGTGCAAATCATTAATTAAAACCCAACTTATTAGGGTTTATTTACTTATTATTATTATAGGTGATTGTACAATTGCCAATCCGACATCAAATCGACATAATGTTTACTATACCTAAATTCTATTACTTTTTTTAAATTAGCGGTTTTAAATAATTTTCAACTTATGATATTATTTCGTTTGAATTTGGTGTTTTTTTGCGTGAGTTCTTGTTATAATAGCTTAGAAAATCGAAAGTTGTGCTAGTAATACATCATAAGTTAACAGCGTTCTCGAAACAGATATACTATTTTAGGATTTGTAGTCACAGGTGTGTTAATATGTTTTTTTCGACTGACATGTACAACTATGTGCACCTCTGAAATATTTTTGACTTTGAGAATAATATAACTTGATTTATATTATTTTACCCACATAACGAAAAGCAGTCGTATTGAAATAAAAGTTTTTCAAAAAAAAGCTTCACACACTCTGCCTTTTTCTAAACTTAACAAAGTAAATATTTCCATTAAGTTTGGTACGCATCCCCTGAAATCTACATCGTAAGTAAAATAATCACTCTTATCGCACTTTCCAACCGAAGGAAGAGAAAATTATTTAGAGTTGTGTTAAGGAACTTATACTAAAATTAAAAAAATGAACCACCCCACCCCTACTTTTTTTTTTTTGAAAGATGGATATAAAGATTAAAATAAATATCAAGCAATTGTGACAAATATAAACTGTTTTTATGTTTATTATTGTTTACAGATAAATATGAAACTTTTCTGTTTTTTGACATCATTAATCATTGTAAACGTTTCGACGGATGATACAGGTAATTATTTTATTATCAAACTAACATATTTGAGGTAGATAACAATTTCATTTTTTTTACAGTGGATTATCAAACAAATATTGCCATTACAAGTCAGTAAAATTTTTGTTTTGTAAAAAAAAACGTTTTAAAATTTTACTGTTTTAGTACATATTTATTTTAATTGTATATTACAGACGCACACATTAAGCTTGCCTCTGAAAAGATTATTGTAGGTGATGGTTTTGTGGAAAGTAAGATTTATTTTAAATTAATTTGCCAGTATATTACTGTTTTTTATGTTTGTCTGACTGTTCAGAAAATTTATTTTTAAATTAAAAATTTTGGTTTCTATAAACAGTTTAAAAAAGTGCACGAGGTATAACATGGAACCAATTATCTAAACACTGTGTGTTTTACTAAATTAATAGGCTTTAATAAGTGACTAATCAACCTAATAAGATGTAAGGAATTGCTTATTGTGTTGATTAATATATTTATTTTGATTTTGTTTAAAACTTTTTGCATAGCTCAATCCTTTATTTGTTTATTCCAGGTGGATTGGAGCAAGTAATTAAAAACATTATTGAAGACGATACAACTTATAGTTTAGGTAGTTATAATTATATAATGATAAAAAAAAAGAGATAAAATTAGGAAAAAGTATTTATAAATTATATAAAATTTGCAACTCAAATTCATTTTATGCAAGTGATATAAATTTTCTGTCAATCTCATCTAATTATTCTATTGTATTCTTATCGCCACATCTGGTGTAATTCAGCAATTTTGTTTTCATATTTTTTTATATATTTAGTATAATAACATTATTATTATATGTGCTATGTTAATATTTCAGGAGTTATGAATAATATAATCGCTGTACCGGGTAATAATTTTCATTGAATATAATGGAAAAATTTCCACTCGATCGTTTTGTATTCATTAAGTACAAAATTGTTTTTGGTTTAATTTCAGAAACTCCACACCTTAATGACTTCCAGGGTAATCACATTTTTATATTCCATATTTACAATACTTTACACTAATTCATTATATATATACATATGGAGACTAATCATAATATGTATTTTGTGTAATTCACAGAAAGTGCAAGACATCAATCAATTTTGAGAGAAAAAATAGAAAAAGAATTAGGTAAATATAAAATTTATCATTATTTAGAGACAATTTTCAAACTCATTAACTGTTCCTTAATTCCAAAGAAAAACGATAACAATTAAATTTAATCATATTTTGATTTTTTGTTTATTGCATAACCATTTGAAATGTAATTTAAACCCTCAATTAAAAATTTTCTAAAAGAAACAAATGAATATTTTTACAATAATTGGCATTAATTATTTAGTCTAATTGATCTCAGTTTTAGATTGGTTGTCATTTAATATTTGTTCCAGATATTCCTGTTCCTAAGGTTTCTGTGGTTCTGGAATCAGGTAATTACGAATTTTTCTACAATCCTCAATAGCGTTTAAAGCTTGTTTAGAGTTGAAATTAGCTATATTTTGCATTAATATTCAAATGTAGTATGATTATTTATTATTTTTTATATGAAAAAAAATTAGAAAAATCTCATTTGAATAATTATTTTTATTATAATATTATTTAAAAAGAATTTCATATTCGCAAAAAGTAATAATAATTATTATTTTCTATCAACACATTCATTCAAAGATTTTTGCAGACTTTAGAAGATTGACTTTGATAAATCTTGGAGGTAAAAGAAGAGATCTTACTAAAGAAGCTATAATAAATATATGGAACCAGGATGTAGGTAAATATTACTAGAATACTGATTTGTAAGTTAGTAATACCTAGTCGCTACTATCATACACTTCCTTATAATAAGAATAGCTGCGTAGTTGTGCTAAGTTTAGCGAATTGAAAAAAAAATTAATTTTAATTTTTTAGTTGGATCAGAAGAGCAATTCTCTTCATTATGGATATGTCGTTTGATAGCACTGTTCATGAGTACAAAATTCCCACTGTCATATGTAAGAGATATTCAGTTTGACCCTGATACTTGTATCATATATGATGGGGTTATATACAAAACATACAAAAAAATTGAAGACGAATGGTGGATATTCACCGGCAATGTTAATTGGCTGAAACTTGAGAAAGAGTTTGTTTATTAATAATTTAGACTAACGGTAACATATTGAGATTATTTTGACCAAAAACTAATAGTGTAACTCGTCTAAAATGCTATGGTACAGTTATTGTTTTATTTAAATAATATTTGCATTATGCACTAATATCCAAGTTGTTAATTCATAATTTATTGTAATTTATAATAAACACTTTTACTTACGATTATAATCACATTTGTTACTTGTGTGTTGATTTAGGCACATATTTATATTTTTACCATATTATTTTACAGATTGACTTGGAGAAATTTTTAAAATATAAATTTATCTATTTTCTGCATAAAGTTAACAACAATAATATAATCTCCGTGACATATAGAATCATGTTTGCCTTATTTTTTAAGTCAAAATTTTCTAGAACAGTAAATGAGTGTTGTAAGACACAACGATGACGATGATACAATCACAGGGAGATAGTTACACATTTTAGGACTTCGGAAATTAGAGACTGTTCCTAACAATGACAAACAAGAGCTTCTCTAGTAGCTTATTTATGGTAACCCCGTAAAACATAGACTAATACGAAAGAGCTAATTTCTTAAAAATATAAATATTTACAACAGTTACAAACATGTCCAAAACTGAATACCACTCAAACATAACACCTATAATTATTCAAAAAGCCGTTACAGTGGGGTGGGGGCATTGTGGGAAGGGCCCAGGTCTGTATGCATTTTTACAACTGAAAATGATAAAATCACTTTCAAATAAACGCTTCGATGTGAATCTGTAATGGTAGAAATGCAAATATCTATATAAGCTTTGTACCTGTTCGGACTTGGGCACTCCTGTTGGCAACAAAAGCGCAAGCGAATAAGAAAATATTTAAATAGAGAATAGTTTGGAGTGGAAATAGATGCGTAGTGGTTTACTTTCTTAACCGTATAATATACTAATTAAAATAATTTATGAGAATATATTTTTTTTCCTAATAATTCTTTTGTACTTAACGTTGAATCTCTCGAGATGTGTTGCGCAATGGCGATCAAGCTGCCCTAGTACTTGCAGTGGTCGCCTTTAGTAATCCTTTTCTTCATAAGGAAAATATTTACACATTTTACGCACAGGACCCTAGTACTTTTTCTTAATAAAATAACATTCTAGAGCATGATATTACATTCGAATGATGCACAATTCTGTTTTTGACTAGCTCATAATACTAGTGATTGGGTCCGTTTAAAACTAGAAATTTTCACTAAACTATAGTTTTTGTATAACAGTATTAATAATGTAATTAGAATTCTCAAAACGAATTATAGGTTGACAAATAGCAGCATAATAAAAAAATAATTATAGATCAGAAGTAGGTACTTTCCACCAAGGGAACACATTTGTTTAAAACATCTAACATATCGATAAAACAATTTATTGTTTTTAAAAAAGCGAGCAATTTTTTCTTATTTTAAATTAAGCCTATTATACAGAGCCTTAAGGCGCCAAATCTCTTAATCCAACACAGCTGGGTGTCTTCTGGAATTACACAGATTCTCAACTGTGCTGCGAGAAGCATTTTACATAGCTGCATGGGCATCTTACGGGACACTATTGAGATTGTATAGGCACCTACTCATAGTGATGCGTACCCGTGCAAGTCTATGAGTTGGTTGTGGAGCCCGAACACCGGGGTATTTTTAATGAGCATGTTGAGACCGGCGTGCCACGAGTTGATCATGATCGGTGGATTGGCTTGGTGACACCTGGACTCCGAGTACGGATTGAACGCGTACACCTGCACGCTACCTGTCTGCGATGGCCACGTCCATGAGCTGATACTACCAGAAACATTCGAATATCACTTGGATATGGTGCAGGTTCAACCGGCCGTTGCACCGGGTCGAGGAGTGGTCGCTGAGCGGCAGCTTGCTCAACACTGGCGCGTAGTGCACTTGCCGCCCGTCGTCCTGCAGGTACACCAACAGGCCGTTGGCCAGCAATAAGTTGTCGTGCGACACCAACCGCCTGGGGTGTGCCGGACCGGCCAAGAGATGCTGGCCCAATTTACTGCGTGCCATCTTGTCGACGAACGGCACCGCTGACCGGGATCCCACGTACACGTCGATGTTGGTGGACCGAGCGAACGACAATGAACAGTTACGCTTGAGGCAAAAGTGTTCTTGACCAAGATGTTCCGCCATATTCATCGGGACGACAAGGCGGCGAACAGTGTCAGAGCTACAAACATGATTGTTGGTCAGAGTTAGGTTTGAATTAAAAATGAAAGGTTAAATCCATCGTTAAAAATTTGAAATTAAAAAAAAATGTATTCGAATAATGTATTTACAATTTATTAGAATAAATAATAAAAAAAATATATGCTATTCTAATAAAAATAATCATTAAAAAAATATGTATGTAGATCCATTTTTATTATTATTTTATAGGTAAATAGGAGCTTCAACAAGAATTTTATAAATGTTTTCTTATATTCGTTATATTTTGTTTATCTTTATTTGTTAAGATATCTATATATATTTCATGTTATTATGTAATTAGTTTTGTTTAATATTTATTGATAAATTAGTAAATATACCATTTACTAACATCGACTGTTTGGAGAGATATCAACCAGAATGCCATCTTATAATTCAAGGAACCATTCTTTGTTTTACATTTTACGCCATTCACGAAATTTATAGCTATTATTGACCTATTAACCGTATACTAATGAATTGTAATAATCTAAATACATTTTTTTTTTTCGATAATCTAATTCATAGTTAATTTGTACTATGATTAATTGTTATTATTACAGCATGGACCATGCTTTAGCAGTGGCCCCACAGCCCGAAAACGACATTAAATGTTGATACTAAAGTAGCGTGCCTACTTTCAACGTATAATAACACATAAGATGCCATTGAAATAATAATGAGTCATGAAAACATATGGCCAGAACATATAATTAAGACTATACTATCATCATAAATCGCAAGCAGATTATAGATCAGAAATATATACTATTCAGGAGCCAGCCGGCTAAAGCATGTTTCATGTTTTATAATTTTAGCCGTTTAAGGCTATTATAATATTTATAGATAATTTTATGGGAAAAGCAAAAACCTTCTGCTCGTGTACTACAACTTAGATTGTACTTAAACTAAGGGGCATCTGTCCTTTGGAATGGGTTTTCTGATATGTGTAAGCAATAAAATATTCTTTGTTTATTTTTAAATCGATAAATTTGTACATGGGTAAATCTTAATACTTTAGCTTCGATGCGGAGCTGAGATAATCTTAGGACTTTTTTGTTGACATTTTGTCAGTAGGCAGGACTTATTGTGTGTCCATAACCAATCAGTTCTGTGCGAATTAATAAAATAATTAAAACCCAACTTTTTAGGGGTTTTTTACTTATTATCAAATTATTGCATATTTGCCAAATCGACATACTGTATACATTCTGTTACTTTTTTTAAATTAGCGATTTTAAATAATTTTCTGCTTATAATATTATTTCGTTTGAATTTGGTGTTTTTTTGTGTGAGCTCTTGTTATAATAACTTAGAAAATTGGAAGTTATACTAGTAATATATTATAGCTTGACAGCATTATCGAAACAGACAATTATTTTAGGAATTGTAGTCACAGATGTTTTAATGTATTTTTTTTTCTACTGCTATACCATTCGATTGTTAAAAGACAATTTATTAAACTTTTCATAAATCCCGTACAAAATATACAGAAAACGCGACTACATCTACTTTTCATGTTTTGTACAAGTGGTCTTTTATAAAATTTACTATCTTTGCCGTATCAACTATGTGTACCTATGAAAATTTGAAACATTTGGGACTTCGCATATTATAATACCGGCGTGACAAAAAAAAACTCATATTGAAAAAAAAGTTTTTTAACGAAAGCATGAGAATAAAATGTAACACAAAATTTGAGATTCAATCTATTCTTTTGCATTTTCCCCAAAATTTATGCAACTCATAGGTGTCATATGTATATTAATTTCTTATTATCTCCTTTCGAGTCACTCCACTCGTCCGTCTTGGCATTCTCATCTCCGCTACACTCATTGTCTGTTCAGTTTTCTTGTCTACTGCCAAACATTACAACCCATATACACTATTGCTAGCCTCACTAACGTCCTATGAAATTTACCCTGGAATCTTATAAGCATACTCCTGTCATACAAAACACCTCAGGCTCTCCTCCACTTCATCCGTCCACAATTTATTCAATTTTTTACCGATACTAAGTACTTGAAACTACCAATCTCACACACTTAATCATCATCCATCTGCATCTTCAGTTTCTTCACACACACACACTCTTCACTCTTTTACTTACTACTTCATACGTTTCCTCTATAACTTTCACATACACCCCCGGCACTCATTTTTCCCTCGACGTCCACCTCAAATACTCTCTGGGAATTCTGTAATGTGGCTTTTTTTAATCTATAAATACCATCCTCAGTTTTTTTCTTTTTACTGTGTTTCCCCACAATCTGGCTCATATACAAAATAATAGTTCTATAGTTGATTTCTCGACATCAACCCAAACCGATTCTGTGACACTGTAGTCTCACTCCTTAATATCTTTTCTATAACCTTCTCGCAAACTTCCACACTTAAGATTTTCTGAAGTCAAACAAGTAATGCTCATATTTTTTTATTTTTTTGAAATTATTATCACTATAATATTTTCAACTTATAACATCATCTCGCTCGAATTTGGGTTTTTTTGTGTTTGTGCGAGTGCTTGTTTAACAGCTTAGATAATCGAAAGTTATACCTACCAATAGTAAAGCATAAACCGACAATATTCTTGAAACAGATACTGGTTTATCGTATGACGTTACATTACACTAAGTAGAGCGATTTCACAATTAGAGTTACACAGTTATTGGGTTTGACACGTTAAACGTATACAGCATTGTATGATTTGTATAAATATATGTCTCTACACTATTTACATGAATTAAGGTTACTCCCACCGACAAGTGGGAGTAACCTCAAGTCATGTAAATAGTGTAAATAAAATACCCCACCCAAGTTTCAATAATTTTTTATATGTCTATATATATATTTTTTTTCAACGACGCTATATCATTGGATTATGATATGCAAAATAAAACATAGTTTTCTTGTCTACTGCCCAAAATTCTGACCCATATAACATTGCTGGGCTCACTATCGTCCCATGAAATTTACCTTTAAATTTTATCCTAAGTTCTTGCAAATACTAATCTCATACATTTTATAAGCATCCATCTGCATTACCTTTCTTGTCCTATGACTTAGTCGAAAACCAAACAAGGTTGCAAAATAAAACAAATTCACATACAGACAATGAGTATGTATAAAATGTACAGGTTAAGGTTTATATATCTTTATACATAAATTTCTTCTGACCGTGCCTTCTGACCTATACAAACTCATCCTAAACGGCTGGACAGATATTTATGAAATTTTGTGTCCGCAATTAAGTTGATTCAAGAAAGGTTTAGATTCACAATTTGATTCGATAGAACATGGTTTTATTTTTTAATTAATTAAAATGATTAATTATGATTATCAATAGTATCAGTAGTTATCAATACAACTCTATGGTTTTTCATACCACAGGGATACAGTGATCCGATCAGCTGATTTTGTTTCTATTCTAATACACGGGCAACGTCGGCTCAGGACATATACTATAAATCTGTATTTTTTTACACACTACATATAACATTTCTAAAAACACAAATAATAAAGATAGCAGCAGACGACATCAAATTGTATATTTCAACATATTTAAAAGAAATTGTATTAAATTATATTTTGAGTGTTTTTAAGTTTATTACATATTATTATACTATACAATTCTCATTTGTCTTGTCTATATATTCAGTCGATGGTTCTCAACTTTAAATGTATAGAAAATTCAATTATCTTTGGTCAAATTTATTTATCGAGGAATGCCAAAAACATAATTTGATTTTTGTATCGATTAATTTACTGAAAGTTCATTTATAAGAAACATTAAAAGAAACCAATCAGAACACTCCACGACAGTGTAATGTAAATAATACGTAGTCACATTAAAAAAATAAAACCGCTGTGTAAACTGACATAAGAAACACTGCAAAATATTTTACTGTTCAGTCGCATCAATACAATTGAACAAGCTGATTAATTTCTTAAAAGTTTATTAAATTTAATAACTCAAGTAAGTAACACTATCAAGCTTTATAAATTGTAATACGCTTGTAATCATATAAGACAGGTAAATTAAAAAATAAATTAATTTTAAACGCGTATTTTAGATACAAAATTTTATTTTATTTTTTTGTTACTTAAATACATATTATGTCAAAGCTATTTTATATGTTTAGTACTATATTAGGTAAAAATAAAATAAAATAGATAGGTATTTAGAACAGATTTTCAAATAAAGTTAAATTTTTGAGTTATTATCTTAATCTATTTAGTTAAGAGTGCGGTATAAGCAATTACTCAGTCCTACTCAAAAGCTAAGTTACTGTGTAATAAGTCTAAACCAGTATTCAATAGATTTATTTTCTTGTTATTTGTGAGTATCAATTAACGACATTTTTCTTTTATATATTTTTTTTTTTACCAAAACACCTTTAGTTTAAGTTTTACATAGTCCAATATTTGCTCTATAAAATCGCATGACCATGATAATTGGGGAGCATACATTAATTAAATTTTAGATTAGGCAACAACCTTCTTCCCTCTAATTCGTTCCTCTTATTTCTAAGTTCCTCTCCTCTTGGTACTTTGCATGACGAGAAAGTCTTCGGGGATTTCTCCCATTATCTCCTCGATTGTGTTGCAACAGTACTGTTCTTTTTAACTTCATAATCTCCAATGATATTCTTTTTTCTTCTCCTAAATCTGTCCTTAACTCCAGCTCTATTACCGTTATTCATACTCTTTTATCATTTCTTCTGAGCACCGGTCTGTCAAATAAATTTTGTTATTTTACGTTTATATAGTTATGTTTTTCCAATTACACATTGTATATATATATATATACTTTATTTGTATTGTTTATTTTCCAAATTTAATTGTTGAGCTAAATATTCTTTTTAAATAAAGGCTATTAAAAAAAAACACAACAATTTAAACTAGTAGCCAGGCAACAGTGACTATTATAAATTGTTTTTATGTTTATTATTGTTTACAGATAAATATGAAACTTTTTTGCTTTTTAACATCGTTAATCTTTGTAAACGTTTCGACGGATGATCTAAGTAACTATTTTATTATCAAACTAACATATTTGAGGTAGGTAACAATTTCACATTTTTTACAGTGGATTATCAAACAAATATTGCCATCACAAGTCAGTAACGTTTTTGTTTTATAAAAATAGTGTTTTAAAATGTTACTGTTTTTTATGTATTTTTTTTAACTGTATATGACAGACGCACATATTCAGCGAGCCTTTGGAACAAATATTGTAGGACCTAATTTTATAGAAAGTTTGTATTAATTTACTAATATAATAATGTTTTGTTGTATTTGTCTGACTGTCGTATCAGACAATTTATTTTTTAATTAAAAATTATGGTTTCTACAAAGCTTTCAGAAAAGTGTACGAGGTGTATACAACCAATGATCTAAACACTGTGTGCTTTACTAAAATTACATAAAAAAATGTGTGTTTATATTAGAACAATTGTTTCTATAATATAATACACTTGGCTTTAGGAAGCGACTATTCAACCTAATAAGGTGTAACCAAGTGCTTATTCTGATGATTTTTATATTTATTTTGATTTTTTTTTTTAATTTTTTGAAAGGCTGAAACCTTTATTTGTTTATTCCAGGTGTATTGGAACAAGTGATTAAAAGCATTATTGAAGACGATAATACTTATAGTTTAGGTAGTTATAATATTTTATAAAAATCAAATCAAATGTATAAGTGATGAACTATACAGTTTTCAACAGAATAGAAAAATAAATCCAAAACCATTAATATATGCAATGTTAATTTCAGGAGCTATTTTGAATATGATAGCTATACCGGGTAATATATTTCAATGAATTTATTGGAAATATTTTCACACAATCGTTTGATATTCATTAAGTACATAATGTTTTCCTTTTAATTTCAGATACTCCACTCGAGAATGACTTTGAGGGTAACCTCATACTTATATTCCATATTTACAATATTTTACACTAATTTATTATATTTATATATTGTGGAGAATAATCATAATATGTACATTGGTTTTAAGTATACGATATTGACAAATTAAAATGTATTTTGTGTAATTTACAGAGAGTGCAATCCATCAAACAGTTTTGCGAGAAATAATAGAAAATGAACATGGTAAATGTAAAATTTAACATTTTTAAGCGAAAATTGTTAAAATATTTAATTCCTTAGTTTTGAAGATAAAACGATTAAAATTAAATCTAAAAATATTCTCGCTTTATGTTTAAACCATTCGATATGTAATTTACACCGTTAATTCAAAGGTTTCTATTAGAATTAAATTAATATTATTACAATATTTTGCATTGTTTATTTGATCTAACTAATTTCAGTTTTAAACTGATTGTTATTTAATATCTGATATAACTGTTACAGAAATTGAAGTTCCTGAAGTTCCAGAATCAGGTAATTACACATTTTTCATTATTCGTAAAAATCGTTTAAGGCTTGTTTAGTGTTTAAATATAATTAAATTTGTTGTAATATTTACAGTCACGCAATAATTTTATGAAAATGAACTTTTAGTAAGAGGGAGAAAATGGGACTTAACCCATTCCTGATTTTTCTAAAAATATTTATTGAAACTACGATTTTGTTCTCCGATCCTGATGATAGGAAACTATTTTTTTTATATAAAAATAAAATGTATACGTTTTTTTTTTTTATTAAGGATTTAAGGTATTTTGCATTAATGCATTAGCAAACTAACTATTAACACAATAGGCACTTTGTATACAATGTATATTTTTCAATAAGTTAAATATTACTAACACAAATTGAGAATGCCAATAGTTTTATCAAAATGTGTATCTAAATAATAAAACATTTAATAAACATTTTAAATTCTACGTAGAAAGTAACAAAAGAATTTCAATGAAACTTAATGATAGGTCTTACAAGAGTGTGTTGAAAATGGCTACGTTGTGTTGGGCGGTTGACAGGAAAATAGAATACAGAATCAGTGTAGTAGAGATGACAAAGCTTAGGTAGGAGATAGGAATCGAAAACAGTAAAAATGTTAATGGAAATAAACTTAGGATAACAGAGAGGGGGGCGAACGGATAAAAAGTGGTTTGATGCAATTGAGAATGTTACGAGGACTTCCGAAACATGCGAACACGCTGTGGTGGCCGTGTTGAGTGTAGGTTTAGGAAAATGGGGCCTGATCCCAAATAGTTGGAATGAAGGTGAAGGATAAAAAGAAAAAGTAATTTGTTTGTATTTAATTATAAACGAAAAACAGTTTAATTATGCTAGACAGTATGATTATTTATAATTTTTTATGTAAACATTTTTTTAAAAACTCAATGGAATAATACTATTATATGTAAATCATTTCATATGTGCTAAAAATAATCATAATTTTCTATAAACACATTCGTTTAATCATTTTTTGCAGATTATCGAAGGTTAACTCTGAAAGACCTTGGAAATCGGAGGAGAGCGTATACCAAACGAGCTTTAAAAAATATATTCCACATGGATGTAGGTAAATATTAGTATAGAGTTGTAACCATGGGGTTTGACCATATATATATATAAAAATCAAATAAATATTAGTAGGTATAAAATACCCTTATTTTCATCCCCCAATCTCCAAAACTATTTACAAGCGATTTACAAGTCGTTTTTTGTGTTTTATATATTGTAATATTCTAGAGAACAACATAGCAGAGGTTTTATTGCACCTCCTTTTTTTACTCTCTACATTTTTGTATCATAAAGAAATACTACAATATTATTGTAGGTAAACAATATCCGGTTACGAGCCGTAGTTTGTGTCTTGTTACGGAAAATTAGTAAAAAGTAAACTAAGTTTAGCAAATTTTTTAGTTGGATCTCAAGAGGAATTCTCTGAATTATGGGTATGTCGTTTGATAGCATTGTTCATGAGTGCAAAATTCCCAATGTCATATATAAGAGATATTGAAACTGACACTGATGAGTGTATGACATTTGATGGTTTTTCAACTGAAACATACAAAAGAGTTATGGGCGAATGGCGTCATGTCTTCGACAATGTGAATTTTTCGAGTCTTGAATCAGTGTTTGTTTTATGATATACATAAACAATTATTAATATATTATAGATAATTTGCACCAGAATTCTATTATGTAACTCGTCTACATTGATATAGTACTTATATCGTTTTTTTTTTTTTAATAATATTTACATTATGCACTAATATATAAGTTGTTAACTCAAAATGTATTGTAATTTATAATAAACACATTTACTCAAGATTATAATCACATTTGTTACTTGTGTTTTGATTTAGGCACATACTTAAATTTTTACCATATTATTTTACAGATCGAATTGATGCATTTTTTTAAATATAAATTTATCTATTTTCTGCATAAAATTAACAACAATAATAGAAACTCCATGACATATTCAATATGATTACAATTATATAAAATAAAACGCAAAAAGATTCTACATAACACATATGGGCTATGTGAGATCTACCACTCATGATCTTATCAAGTTTCACTAAAAACCGATGTACGTCTTATTTACTATGCAATTTTAATGAATATGTAATTTTTTTCTTTCTTCTACGTTATCATGTTTGCCTTATATTTTAAGTCTATATTTTCTAGAACGGCAAATGAGTGCTGTAAGACACAACGAAGACGATGATATACTCACCGGAAATAGTTACACAATTTAGGACTTCGGAAATTACAGACTATCCCCAACAATGACAATCGACTTGTTCGAAATAAGAGTTGCCTCATTAGTGTATTCAACTTGTTAAAAATACATTGTAAAACATATTCAACAATTGCAACTATGTCGAAAACTGTCTTAAACTCAAACGTAACACCTATAATTATTCAAAAATCCACTACAGTGGGTTTGGGGCATGGCGGGGGTGGGCCCAGTTCTCTTTGACATCGGTAATAAAAGTTTAATACCGAGTAACTATCTCACATTATTTGTACAGAGATGCACTGAATGAGCTAGCCAATAGTGTATAGTAACCCGCGATGTTAGATACTACTAAACTATATCTAATGTTGCAGTCATAACATTATGTTTATTATCTTTCTAATTATAAATATAAAATCTATAAACACTATAGTACATTTTACTATATTTTTGATATGACTTTAAACCGGATTGTATAACGTTGAGGTTTAGTTCGTTGCGTTTCATTTCTTACAATATTTGATTTGATAAATTTTGCAATCATATTTTGTGGTTAGGTACTCTTTGCACGACAACAGAAGTTTAAAATCCGACGTTTTTGAAAACGCCACAATAAAGTAAACAATAAAAAAAATAACGCCGCTTGAAGTGAAAAAAATGTACATAGACCTTTCTGCATAATACATTTAGATTTTACCGATATTAAAACCACTTTAATGCAATTTAGTTAAACATTTTTGTCATTTAAGAAAATAAAACTACTGACATCAAGCATTAATATTACCAACATCATTACGCCTTTGAAATCATTTGTGTACAGACTAGTGGTAATATTTAATCGCTAGGCCAACTTCATAGACTTACAAGTATTTATTTCAGAAATAATTTCATAAAATCATACAAAAAGTAGTTCATTATAATTTAATAGATTCTTATAATTTTAGGTTAAAGGTTTATCAAAAAATTATCCCACACAAGTTTGGATGTAATTTTAATATTTTCCAATAAGTGATATTGTGCAGTACCTATTTCATTTTAATATTGACAACTGTATTAATAAGGCTTTTATATTTTTTCAGATAAAAATGAAACTCTATTTTATAACAATACTATTTTCGTTTGTTATCGTGTTTGTGAATTCTGGAAAAAGTATGCTCTTTCATCATGTGCCTCGTACTCGAGGTAGTTAAAAGTAAAAAAAATTATTTAATATTTAACGTTTTATTTTTACAGCTAAATTTATGAAGCAGGTTATCATAAATAGTGAGTTGCATTTTTTACTTGTTACATACTACAGTTTTATGTTTTTTAATTGTATTTTCATTATAAAAATGTTCTTAAATAATTATTACAGATGATTATATCCGTCAGACTCTTAGGGCAGGTAAAATAATCAGTCAATATACCGACGTGTAACTTGTTATGTCTCGGCTGTTCACCAACTAATAAAAAATTATAGTTTCTACATTCCGTTCAGATTGTCAATGAATGAGCTTAGTTATAGTTATACATTGTATACATTATAAACAGCTTACAAAATTAAAAATTATTTATATTCATACTCAATACTAAGTTTTTAAAATTTACTTAGAAAAAGCATATCGAAAGAAGTGTTAGGTTACATTGACACACCCTGAAAAATGTTGTACGAATGTTGTATGAATTTTGTCATATAGTTAAAACTAATATTTGCTTATTCTAGAAAAATTACATACTGCAGTCAAAAATATTTTAGGTGGATCAAAACCGATGGGTAATCATAATTGTATAATAAAACAAATAATGATTAAGGTTGCTGGTAGACTATTTTTTTAAACTGTATAAGTTATAACAGTTACAACAAAACTGATTTATTATATTTATAAGTAGTATAAAAGTGATCTTAAATTATATTAAGTGATCTTAAATATTAATTATAAATATTTAAAATATTTTAATCTTTTAGTCTGAAACCTTTTGACTGGCAACACTTTTTACGTCATCGAATAATTATAAATTATTTTACTCTGTACATTTGCATCAATTCAATTTCAATGTGTTAGCCATAGTCTCCACTCTCTTTAAACAAAAGACCTAATAATAAATGTGCATATTTTTTGTTTAATGCACATTTATTTTGATATAGCAATAGGTACCATGTTTTTTCGACCTTGATGTCCGCCTTCTATTGTATAATAGAATGGAAAATTAAACCCGTGAACATAAATTCCCTATTAAATGTAATTCACTTAAATTTCAGCGGATGTTTCTCTTATGTTGGCTGTACCAGGTAAATTATAATACCTACATTTTATAGACATTACATTTTCACATAATATACCTATTTCGATAATTCCTTATTAAAATACGTTCATTTTAATTTCAGACTTAGCAGTAACAAGTGAAAACATTCGTAACTTAACGAGTAAATATCTTCATGTGTATCTATTCAGCTCTATATGTATATATACTCTTACATAATATTGATCTCGATCATAAGAAAATGTCTACATTACAATTAATTTTGTATTGGATTTTAGTAAGCACGTCTCGTGAGGAAGAACTTGGAAAAATATTAGAACTGTTAATGAGCGATTGCATACGTAAATATACAACTTATCATTCCTATTCAAAATTGATAATTACTAGACCTATACAGGGTGACCAATAATGGTTGATCTTATATACTAAATTATTATTTTATGTGATGACTGGTGTAATAAAACTACTTGTTTTTGTTGAACCGAATGAAAGTATTAAGAAATATAGTTAAAAATACAAATCTTTACAAAGTCATAACAAGCGAACAATTGGATAAAAATTAAAAATTCAAACACTAACATTTTTTTTTTTTAACTTTTGTCTATATACTTATGGAGTTTAAAACATATGTTGCCATTTGAAAAAGGGATGTCCTACCCTTTTTTTTGTATAAGGGTTGGAGATACAGATTTTCGCAGTATTGTAAAATGTAGTACAATGTTTACCTTAAAGTATAGGAAATTATTTTTTTTTAATGTTTATATTTTCCGAGAAAACTAGTGTCTTGCCCAAAATGAATCACCCTGTATACATATAATAGAAATTTAAATCGAGTTTAAAGTCGTTAAGCTATAAGTTTTTTTAATAGGAGTCTTACAATATATATATTACATTGCACAAATTGGTCTAAGTAATTTTGAGCTTTAGTGTGACTGTTTTTGATCAAATATAAAAAGCCAGCATAGTGGATTCTGGGCATAGTGAGCAAAAAGAATAAATAATGACTTCGAAGTGAATCAGTAGATAGTAGAAATATTAAATATCAATGAATGCACTGGAACGGATAAAATTTAATGAAATTGTATTATTTATATTAAAAAGATTTTGTTCTCTAGACTTTTATTAATATATATTGCTATTTGAAGAAATCGGATAGCGATTTGGTTGCTATTGTTGGCTCTGACGCAAAATATAAAAATACTTCTTTGTAAAAACAAAATCATCTCATCCAAACCTATTTTTACTAGCTGTATATTTATTTCCTTTTAACATGGATATGTGATTAGGTTGGGTACAAGATATTTTGTGTTGCCATTGTCGCGTTACACTCTAGTATGATAGCAGATAAGTGTTAAGTGATAAATGATAAGATATTAGAGATAAGTGATGTCAGATAAGAGATAACATATCCATTATACAATGTTTTTCTGTAGAGCGGAGAAAATAAATAAATAATTTTTTTTTCTAGAACCACATCCACATTCACAACGTGAAGTAAGAGGTAACCAATCATTTATTCGATAAATAGCTTAATTAGCCATTACAGCTTATATTATCAGTCAGCTTATAATAGCAGAATATCATTTTTCATACAAATCTCTTTTTTTTTTAAATAATTTTTTTTAACTGTAAAATTATCATTTTATTTTTATCTAACAGGTATTGTAACTCCTGTTGTTGGAGACAGAGGTAATCAACACTCATTTATTCGTTTTTATTTTATTTATTCGAATGGTGCAACCAAGTAGGAACATTTATTCGATAAATAGTATAAATAAAATAAAATTTATAAAACTACCACAAACAAATAAAACTTTCTACAATAACTGCTGTGTGATCAAAAAATGGCACACGCCCTGAAAATGTTTGCTTCTGATCAGTCAATGTACACTACAACATTATAAATTCTTAGAGTTTCAAGTATAGGAAAGTGTGTTACTTTCTTAGATGCATCGATTTCAATGCTAGTGTAGTTCTGTTATTCAGTTTTGTTATTTATCAATTATTACAGATGCTGAAAGCGCTAATATAGTAGCGCTCGGAGATGAACGAAGATTTCTAATTATGGAAGCTATTACAAAAATAGCAAGTAAACATTCCTACATAGTTATTACGGTTTCGCTTCTTAACCTTAAATATACTAGTTAAAATTATTTACGGGAACATTTTTTATATTATTAAATAGGCCAAAGTTTGCAATTTGTTAAAAAAAAATTTTATATTTCAAGGTGAAGGTGGACTGAACGTTGAATCACTCGACACATGTCGCCTAGTTGGGTTGTTCAGAAGTATGATAAATTTCGAAAGTGACTCATATATAGTCAAGGCTAAGGTGAAAAATGGTGTTTGTAAACTAACTACTAAACTGGACATAGTAAGCAATTACATACAATGTCCGGACGGAATTAATGAAGTCGTACTCGGCGGTGATACTATCAAATTAGAGAAATTAAACTTGTAATATCATCATAGTTAAGACCACATGTTAAAGTTTAATCATTAAATATAAAAAATTATATAATACTACGATTATTATTTTAAAACATTTTTGTACACTGCACTAATGTCAAAATTATCAGTTAATTATATGTACTTCAAAAATCATAATAAAAATGTCACCAAGTTTTTCTCAAGATTATATTGTTATAAAATTTATATTGTTGAAATTTGTTAATTTATATTGGAAAAATACGTGTCACGAGTAAGCGTGGTTCAAGTGGTATTTCTTCAGGAGCTGGAGGACATTAGGCTTTTTAGTAGAAATATTAATATAAAAAGTAATCAAAGATTCAAGTAGTATTCGAAAAAAATATTCTTTATTTTTACCACTAATTTTGTACTTATAAATAGTTTACTTACTCGTATAGTTTAATGGATATTAAATTGAGTAAAATAAGAAAAAATTAGTAAAACACTAAATAGTCTAAATAAATATTTTTGTATAGCTTTAATCAATACAATAGCCTTTTTATCAAATTTTCATCATCACCAATCATACATTTTTTGTTTCAATAAAATTAATTAATTTTTAGCTTTCCTCTCTATATTTTTCATTTATTAATTTAATTAATACTACTATTTTTTTATATGGAATAGACTAAACTACACTTTGTATTAGAAGAACGTATCACTTAGATACACAGCACACACGCGTCTACCTTAGAGGAAGGGTAGAGTAAAGTACTATTTTTAGTCTAATGAAAGTAACCCATCGGCGTGCTTCTTAGGGTATAAAACAACTTTCAATCGAACGCTTCCATGCATTTCTGTGGACACTGTACCTGGCTGAAATACCTATGTTCTTACTTTGCTGGTTTATACTGTGTTTGGTTTGGACTGTACTGGTTTGAAATAACTATACATAGTAGTGTAAGTGCTTTACCCGCCACCGCCATGACTGCTGAAGAGGAAATGGATACTACAGGATCTGGTACTTCCAAGGGGCCGATAAGTTCCAGGCAACTTGCTATTAAAAGGGGTGCCGATGATGATGGAACATTGATTTAAATTTTGAACATTATAGGCTGGTATAGGATTACCTTCTCCGCACAAAAAAGCAAGAAGTCGGTCTCACCGAGAACAATGCCCTGGAAGCCAAAACTAACGAGCTACGCCATAGATGTTCGTCCAAAAAAACGGCCGAGGCATCTACTGGCAGCCCGGAATTTAATTATAGGATACTCGTGAACGATTTTTCAAAGGCTATTTGCGATAAACAAATAGAGATTGAGACACTAAAACTCAAAGTGGCACTCCTAGAATCTACCTAAACTGTCACTCCAGTCAACGATCAGCCGATGGACATGGTACAGTCCGTAAAGGCCCGGAGAGAAGAAGAAGTAGGAAAAATAAATTTAAAAAAATAGAAACCGTTGTGTCTCTCGAAAATCTAATAGGTCAAAATCGGGGTGCCATAAAACCCTGGAAAATAATTTTAGGGAACGTAATAATACGGGAAAAAACCCGTAATCTCACGGACCGTAAAAATCCAGAAAATAAAATCGACCAGACAGTAATTGTACGGAATGTAAAATTCCAGAATCCGTATTCTCAGAACCGTATTCTCCCGGAAAATAAATATGCGGAACGTAAGGATCCGGAAAAAATTATGTGATACTAGCGCTTTTAGTGGTAAAATTACTATAGGTACTTATTACAAAATTATAATTATAGATCGAATATTATTTCATTCATTTTAACACACATTTATTTTATACTCACATAAAAATTCTATACAAGGTCATCCATTTATCTTAAGCCACTCAATATCTCATAGTACATAGGGTTAATAAGAAATTTAATTTTCACTATTTACATGACTTGAGGTTACTCCCACTTGGATGTTTTGACTAGTTCGCCGACGATTCGGAACACGTTCTGTCCCGAGAATCCCATTACTCGAAACGCATGGTGAGGGAAGCCATAGAAATCAAAAAATGCACAACAAACTTCAACCGAGAAAACGTTTGGAAATTGAACAAAAGTGGAAACCGGTGATACATCAATTAAAAACTGGACCAAAGGAAACCGGAGACCAAACGGGACGAAGAGAGCCGGAAATACAGCAAGAAACTATTGATAACGGAAACGAAAATCAGTTATGCGGTAGCCGGCGAAGGCGAAGGGGCGTGGCCGTAGAAAACAACTGGCAGCGGCAAGAGGAAGCGGAGAATGCGCGGGGGGGGGGTATGGTATATAACCTACGCCCACCGAAGCGAATCGGTCAGTCTGCAGGAGAGCGCGGTACGAGCAACATCGAACAACGTCAATTCTATGTAAAAATTAGAGCTGTTCATTATTGTTAATCAATAAGATGTCAAAATGATTAACTCGGATTTTACAGATCGAATTGATGCATTTTATAAAATATAGTCTTATCTATTTTCTGCATAAAGGTAACAACAATAATATAAACTCCGAGGCCCATTCAAGATGATTACAATTATATAAAATAACACGCAAATCGATATTACATAACTACCACTTATGTGAGACCTACCACTCAAGAACTTATCGTTGCTG